ACTGAACTCCAGCCTGGACGACAGAATGAGACCCTGTCTCAAAAAACAAACAATTATTTCACTGGAGTTGCCAATTTTTTTTTTTTTTTTTTTTTGAGACGGAGTCTCGCTGTCACCAGGCTAGAGTACAATAGTGTGATCTTGGCTCACTACAACCTCCACCTCCCGGGTTCGAGCAATTCTCCTGCCTCAGCCTCCTGAGTAGCTGGGACTATAGGTGCCCACGACCACGCCCAGCTAACATTTTTGTATTTTTAGTAGAAATGGGGTTTCACTATGTTAGCCAGGATAGTCTTGATCTCTTGACTTCATGATCCGCCCGCTTCGGCCTCCCAAAGTGCTGGGATTATAGGCATGGCCTACTGCGCCCAGTCAACAGTTTTTTTTTTTTTGACACAGAATCCCACTCTGTCACCCAGAGTGACATCCAGCAGGCTGGAGTGCAGCGGTGTGATCCTGGCTCACTGCAGCCTCCACCTCCAGGGTTCAAGCGATTCTCCTGCCTCAGCCTCAGGCCATGTGGCCGGAAGGGCAGAGACACCGCAGGCGAGACCACACGCCTGCTGCTGCCCTGGTGACAGAAGCCGAGGGCAGAGGAGACATCCCTGGCCCAGGCTGACCCCTAGCTGGCTGGAGGGAAGGGGTCTGGGGAGCGGCCTGTGGGGGCCCTGCGCCCGAGGGGCAGGTCCCTGGCCCAGCTGGCCAGTCTCCAGCCCCAGCAGAGGCATCGGATCAGAGTGGGACGGGGTGCAGAAGCTCCTGGGGTGCTCAGTCCTCAGTCCTGGGCGCCGAGGGCTGCAAGGGTTTGGCCAGAGCCCCTCCAGAAAGGTTTGCGCTGCTCTTGAAGAAACAGGAGGCGTTTAGGAGGCAGTGGAGACTCACCACATTGTGAGCTTCGTCAAAGATCACGACCGTCCCCTTCAGGTCAATGCTGTGTGCTCTGCGGCTCTACAGGAGGAAGAGAAGGGACACGGTGCTGGAGCTCACAGGGGCAGGAAGGAGGGAAACCAAGGCACGTGCGGCCGGCATCGAACATCGCAAGTGCCGATGACAAACACCGCAGGCGACGTGGAGAGGAGAGGCCAGATCTGGATGGCAACCTGGCAACACCGCCCCACCCGAAGCAGCAGCTCGCCACGCTGGGAGACGCTCACGCGCGGCATGGAAAGGCACGCGCCACGCTCAGCAAGACGGACGGCCACAACGTCCTGGGAGCCCCCAGCCACCGCAGTCAGCCAGCCACAGACCACAGGAGCCAGGAAGACCCAGACCCAGCAGTTCTCTGCCCTGGCCCCACTCACGGAGATTTACAAACCCAACTCCAGGCCGGGCGCGGTGGCTCCCACCTGTAATCCCAGCACTGTGGGAGGCCGAGGC